CATGCTTTCTTTCAAATATATCACTTCAAAATTGCAGATAGCTCTTGGATAGTTATGCACAAATTTTAGAAAAACTGAATTTTTTTTACTGATTGTATTTGATTTGTTAATTACTGTAAATGATGTGTGTAGTTTATAACTTTATCAGCTACCAAACTGAGTCTTGAAATTGGAAATGAATGTGGTTTTTTACAGTGAATTAGTGAGTTATTATTGCTTGTTTTACAGGTTCGGACCTGATCTCCAAACTTTTGCGGATGCAGCTGCTTGAAGATGATGATGAAGTAGTGTACACAGCAGATGACCAGGAAGTTAACAAAAAGGAGGCTGATGGCCGTCCAGCGTGGATGCGTACTCTCTACAACTCTGCCTGTACTTGGCTGCGATTAGTACCTCAGAGCCTCCAGACTCTTAGACGTACAGTCGAAAATATCAAAGACCCATTGTATCGATACTTTGAGAGAGAAGTACGTACAATATTCTAAAGTTTTTTTAATAATTGATAGATTACATCATACTTGAAAAATTTGAGAATTTGTATTCAGGTAAACAGTAAAATCAAAATTTAATAATTTCAATCAAAGATGACTTATAACTGGCATTAGCTAGGAGATATTTATGCAATTTTCAATTTTTTTAACAAAAGATACCACTGAACCTATTTTTGTTGGTATAAATATTGTGAAGTACATGTTGTTTACAATGTTCAGTTTTAAGCATGTCTTCAAATAAGCTTTTAAACCTAGAAACATAGAGTTCCAATTTGTATCTTATACTTTGTATAAAGGATACTAGGTGGTGTAGACATAGTAGTTTTGGCTTCTTTTTCTTTTTCTGGAGTGGGACGATGTTTAGGATTCTTTACTGAGACTGCCTTCAAGTCGAAGAAGGCCTCAGTATAAAACTTAAAATGTTGTTCCACTTTATAAACGAGTAGCAACAATCAGTTAGACCAAAAACTCTAAAATATCCATTTGATGCTGTTAACTTGTATGATAGTCCAAACAGATGCTCCATTGAAAGTTTGTTGTCTGCCAGGTTAATGCAGGAGCGAGATTACTCCAAGTTGTACGTAGGGATCTGGAGGATGTAATTCTCATCTGTAAGGGAGAGAAAAAACAAACCAATTATCATCGCAACATCCTTAGTGAACTAGCAAAAGGTATTTTCCTTCAAATATAACCTTAAAAGACATTTATTATTCTAGTTCAACTTTAGCAATAAATAGTCTTAGCTATTTATTTCACAACCTTCATTCTTAGAATTGAAGTATTTACATGGCAGAATTCTACAGGACAAGTTAAATTCAAGAAGCTGAAGAGAAATATGTAGATTTTCCTTGAGAGCAGTTCTTATTAATTTATGTGAGCTTGTTAGAATTTTGTTGAATTCCGTAATCAAACTGATACTTAACTGGATTTAAAAAAGAAGTAAGGAGGACCACCAAAATCAGTGACTAAAAGTTTTTATGTTTCTTATGATTATAAATATACACCTAAAAAAAGTTAAGCACCCCCGAATATTTTTCAGGATTGCTTATTGAAAATAAGGTTTAATTTTCATGATGTTGAGCAATGTTCATAATTTCA